TATACATATATATATCTAAATATATATGTATGTATATATACATTATATACATCCCATTTCGTGCTTTCACTGAAAATTTTCAAACGAAACTCTCCATATTGTAGTAGATCGTTTGAAAGGGCATAAAATATGAAAAATTTTGGCGCAAATCAGAGGTCGATACGTTGATCCGTTCGAGAGTTATTTAGGGTCAAAGTTCGAAAAAGCTCATTTTCTTATTCTCGAACAGGTATCGACCTCTTATGCCAAAATTTTTCTTATTTTATGCCCTTTCAAATGATATACTACAATATAGGGAGTTCTAGTTAAAATTTTTAAGTTAGGGTCGCCTTGGGGCACAACTCCCGCAACCCCCTTAAATGAGTTACCCCCTCGAAATGATCGAACACGTATTTCGCGATCTTTCATAATTTTTTTTAGCCGTTTCCGAAATATAGGGTGTGGACACTTTTCGTTAATTCGTTTGTCTATATATTACCGGTTATCAGGTTTGCAGACTGTAACGTGCTAAATAAACATATTTAAACGGTCTGTGCGTCCAAATTCAGAATAGAATTCTATTTATAATTTTATGTGCCATTGAAGAATCAAAATACGCGTATCAAATACATGCCAAACACATGAAAGAACACTCGGCATATAAAGTCATAGCTAGAATTCAGTTCTGAATCCTGACGCAAATTATAGTTTGTGTAAAACGAGTTTAAGTTGTCAAGATATAAAAAGTGTATTTTTTTAAATGTCGGCGTATAACGAGTTGCGATATAATATAGAAAATAATAGAATTTTATTTTGTAGCGTTAATTGTTAATTCTAATTGGCTAAGGCGCCTTGCCGGTTTGCTTCCAGGGGAAAGTAATTAAAATACCCATGCATCGACACCCCACGACCTCAAAGAATTCTTAAATGTCCAAGAGATTAATTATATAGAGTCGATATTCACGTGACAATCTGACGATCGTGAGCTGACCAGCAGATGCAACGTATAATGCAGCCTTCTTTACGGGTTAAATCCAATATACAACTGCAATCGACGTTCCACAAGATCTTCTTTTTCTTCAAATCATATAGCATGAGCATCGAGACGTTTCTAACAAATCCAACAGAAGTGGAGACGGCCATTATCAATTTATTGCCTAAAACATAATAGTAACTCGTGTTACTCTGTAAATTAAAGTGGAACACGTTGTACAATTATTTTCCACTTATCTTTCAATAGAATCTCAATTTCAGCAGGCGCAACAAAAAAAATATCATTCTTACACCTGCTGAACTTTTGTCAGCGTTAAAAAGTGACATAAAAAAAATATATATACTCTCTAAAAGTCGAATAGTGAAATGTAACTCAAACCGAGTGTAATACAAATGTAACGAAAAGTGAAAATTGAGTCTGCGCACTTCGAGTGATTCGCCACTCTAAGAAAGAGTAAAATTGTGCTTTATTAGTTGGAGTGAAATCACATTTCATTTGAGTGAAAGAGCCTTTTTCGAGTGCAGCAGATCAGTGTCCATAAGAGCAAATTATGTCACTCTACAATTTTGAGTGGAAAATTTCACTTGGTTATTCATTTATCATAGCTTTAGAGTAAGATCGCATCACTCCGGTAGAGTAGCCGCTCTAAAAATTTGAGTGAAAAATTCACTCCTACCTTATGAGCACCCGCATTTACTCAAATTAGAGTGACAACTCTCTCTTTTGGAGTGTCTACCGCAATCACTCTAATATATTAATGGCGAGACAACTCTACAATATTTGGAGAGTATACTTATAAAAAAGCATTGTAGTCATATCGCCTAGACCTGCAGCGGAGTGTCATATTATTCAAGGTATAATTGCTGTTCGCGCGATACATTAGCTTCGTATCGCTCGATGCTGACTCACCGTCGCTGCTCCATTTAACGTTGATAATTTTATTGAAGTTGGTTTTGTACGATGACAACTTTTCGCCGTTTTTATCAAATATATTTAGATGATTGCAATCGGTCACGGCGAACATGTCGTTGCAGCTCCAGTCGACCACCCTGATATTATCACCTTCAACACCAAAAGTCGTTTGAGAGACGGGAATTTAAAAGATAAACCTGAGACTTTGAATCGATTGCGATACGTACTACGCAAAGGGAATTGATCGGGCATGGACAACATCTTTTCCGCGCTTCCTATCAGGGTCCACTTGCGCGGCGCGCACTTCCAGCTTCCCTTCGTCTCGTATTCCGGACGCGGCGGATCCCGAGGCCGCACTATCGAGCCGCTAAAGCGTAAAATCTTGTCTTGATTTAATTCTGCCAAGAAGCATATTCCACTGTAATTCATTGTACGCTGGAAACATGGAAAAATCCTAAACGCAACGATATGACTATTGTTTGTATAGTTAACTTCAATTTATAATTTGCGCTAGTATAGAATTCAAAATTCTATTTTTCTCGCACTAAATAGAATTCAGAATATAATTATATTTATAATTTTATGCACTGTATAACGTGAGAAACATTTGAAAACTTAGAATATGCATATATATATATATATATATATGATGTATCAAATATTCAAATATTCATACGTGTGTATCAAAATTTCAAAATACACGGCATATAAAATTGTAAATAAAATTCTATCCTGAAATCTAACGCAAATTATAAAATTCGCTTGAAGTATAGCCTTTAGAATTTTTGTTTATTTAGAAAATAAAAAATAATAAATTGAAGAATTATTTACACGGGTATATTTTTATTATTGACCAAACTGACATTTATTTTTCCCGTTAACTCGACGTTTCGGGTGTCAGTCGCTGTCTTTCGATCCGGAACGACGTGTCACCGGTCGGTTCCGTTCACACCATGACTGCGGCTCGCTCTAGACTACGACTCTTTTAAACCTTGACAATGTTAGTTAAACGGCAAGAACTTTGTGAGCGACTAATGCAATTGCGAAAAATATAGAAATCTCTTGATAAGGACACAAAACCAATGTCGAAACGTCGAGTTAACGGGAAAAATAAATGTCAGTTTGGTCAATAATAAAACCTGTGTTAATTTTTCACTGACAAAACAAAGAATTTTGAATATATTTTTATATTAATTAGCACAATTATACCAATTGGATGTGCATGCATCAATTTCATTGCAATCAGACATTACCTGGCATTATAGCTCGCTCCATCATTATAGCACGCAAAGCTTTACGTCGGTATGTAACATCCAGCGAATCAACCTATTTTTTTTTTTTTTTTTTAAGAAAATCAAAATGTGATTACGCAATTGAGATCTTGATAATGTTTCGCATATTCATACCTGTTCACAAACGTCTATTACATGCGTATCCTCCTCCTCATCTGTCGTGTCGTCCTTTTTTAATAGATAACGAGCCATCTCGAAACTATAGCCGCGTCGGCACGGTAAGAATCTATCTCCCGAATAGATCTGTTTCGATATCAACGGACACGCTTTGATTTTTATGCAGTTAGAATACTGAAATTTCTGCGCGTCACGTTTCTCGGGACCCTCGCTGATAGCTTCGTGCGGGGTAGACGACAGAAGCCATTTCCGTGGAATAACCTTGATAAGACGTAAAAATCTTATATATCTTATAAAAAATCTATGTATATAATAAAAATTAAACTAATATATATATATATGGGAATATACATATACATATAATATACACAGCTATTTGTCATAGTGTGGAAAATTTCGAGCGTAGATTTCTTCCTTAAATCTCTGAGATGAAAGTGGAACAGTGTTAGTATGATTAGTATGATCTGTCGTTGGACGAAGTAGGTATAGAGATGTGCAAACTAAATACGAGTTGAATCAAATCGGGTGAGATACAAATTCAAATTTTTACGATTTGAATCCGAACTATTCAAAAATTTTCAATTTAGATGGATCAAATACAATTCATATTATACATTGTCAATTTTATAATAATAATAATAATAAATAGTAATAATACAATTTATTAATTATTAATAATAAAATTTTGCGATGCAAAAGGTGAGGTAACATATGTTGCTGTGAAACCTACCTGTTAACGTACAAGAAATTACAGTATGAATGACATTAAGAATACTAAAACATTGGAACATATACGATCCAAAACCACACGATCGCACACTCATGCACACACGTACTCACACGCACACACAGAAGCACGCACTCACGCACACTCGCAAAACAGGCATAGTAATATTCAAGTGGCGAGATTAGGTGGGCGAGTTTGACGAGAAGGCCAGTAACGATATGACTTGAGCAGCTACCGTGCGAAAAGAAGATAGTGAGGAGAAGGATTTTGTGGAAGAAGGCAGTTGGTTGTAGTATTTAACAGCAATACAGGAGAAAGAAGCACGGAATTTAGTAGTGCGATGCAAAGGAAAGAATAGGAGATCTATAGCTGACTGGTGTCAGGGGTATTAGGGGAATGGAACTCGAAATTGTAGTGAAGGAGGCGGCGAAGGTAAGAATGAGTATTGGTGTGGAGAAGAGAGAAAACAAGACAGCATAGGGGTGTAGGACAAATCGTGGAAGTATTTTAAGTCATCCGGAGCCTGGATGTAAAGGAGATATGTGGTCATATTTACGAATACAGTAAAAAAAAACGGAGGCAACAAATTTTGAATATGCAGTTGAATACGGTTTAGTAGTTGTTGGCTAAGTGCTGGAACATATGATAAAAAAAAGAGATGATTATAGAGACTGATAGACGTTGAGTTTTTGAGAGTTTGTAAGAATCATATCTAAAATGTGATAAAAAGGATATTCTGGGGGAAAAAAGAACGCGGTTAAGCAACTTTGGGGCCCACGATTAGTAATCAAATTATTTGGATATCGTAACCCTAATTTTACGTATTTGGACTAAAAATAACACCGCGTAACTAAAAGTCATAATTATTCTATCTATATCAAAGATTTTCAAGTTATATTAGTCAATTCTCTCAATTAGTTCTATCGATATTTAGTTACGCAAAGATAATGTTCATTTAAGGGGCGCTAAACAAAATGTTAAAATGCATAACTGTGGGCCAAATCGGTAAAAATTTTTCCCAGAATATAAGAGACGTAGATAAGCAAAAGCAGCATAACATTTAGTTATAAAGTTATATATTGCCTGTACGATCATGTTAACAGGTGCAATCAGTGAGTAGCATTCAGTATTATAACCGCTCACTGAGCGGCTAAGCAGCAGTCAAAAAGTTTATTTCTAATTTTTGACATGCTCTGTGATCCTATCAAATTGTAAGTAAAGGTTTGAATGTGCATAAAAAAATAGTAAGCTATGAGTATTGATAATAAAAAAATAAACTATTGTATATTATTTTATTTTAATTTTTATGTATGTAATTGGATAATGTTATTAGATATTACATTAGAGTATTTGATTTTTTTGCCTAATTGTTTCACTTACTGTGAAATTAAATAAAGCATATTTTATTAGTTTTATATTAAATATTTAAATATGTTTTTAGCTTTAAAAAGAATTTATATTATATAACTGATACCTATTATTTTTTCCTGCACATTAAAATATATTCTCTTATTATCTACGTGTAAAAATTCAATCTAATAATAATTATATTGTTAATTGAAAATTATATTTTAATTCAATTCGATTCGAAAGTATTTGATTCGCTTCGATTCGAATAAAATTTTGTCGATTCGATTCGACATCAAAAATCCTTGATTTGCATATCTCTAGTTCTAATGAAAATTTTTCATCGAACAATGAAGCATTATGATCTCGCAAGTTGTACTGCCGCGCCGGCTGGGATTGCACATTTCACGAAAGAGCTAGTTTGCAGAGAGACGCAAAGTTTGTACGCCCGGGATTATTTCAGATTTTAGCATATATTTCTCGGATTTATCTCTGACGAAGACTAATCCTTCAGTACATCAGTGTGATCGATTGATCGCCACTCAATCGTCAGCCCGCGACCGTCGCGCTGCTAATTGAAAGTTTCATTCCCACGGTGAATCGGTGGAGAGCACGGTGGGGCGCGAACCGGTCAGCGACGTTATATGCGATGCGAAAACGCCACGTATACGCGCCGCGCAGTTCGTGGGCCGTATCACCTGCGGTAAACTCTGTCTCTTGCAGGGGATGCTCCTCGAAATGAGAGACAATAAATTTAAAGAATGAGAGAGAGAGAGAGAGAGAGAGAGAGAGAGAGAGAGAGAGAAAGAGAGAGAGAGAGAGAGAAGTAGAGAAAGATACGGCGGTCGCTATACGACACCCTGATCTAAACAGCGTTTTCTTCGTCGCGAGCGTTCAAGCTCAACGCGAGTCCAACGCGTTACATTTAATTCCGATACGTTACATTCAATTTTCATGACATTTAATTTCGTAACATTCACGAAACGCCATAAAATGGTATTCGTGCGCATAAAATGCTACGCTACGAAGCGAGTCGCGTCACCGACTTGCCGCGAGCGATCTATACGAAAATCAAGCGAGATTTTGAAGGGAATAAAATTGATTCTTTTTGTCATTCACGTCGGAAATTCGACGGAATTTTCCATTTTACGCTTTGACTCGCGTTCGCGTAGCAAACCGGGACATCCCGGGGGAAGCGGTTTATGCACTTCTGCAACAGACAGCAGGCTGCAGTGCGCCGCGCAGAAGGAGAAAAGATTCTACCAGACGTAAAATCCAAAATTTTCTACGTCCGAGAGAGCGGCCGAGTGCGGAGGGTGCGGCTGGATAATTTCTGCTGGCGGCATTATGCACGAAGGGGTAATACCTTATACCGACCATTGTACCCCCTGCGAACATCTGGCTGTCCGGGTTAGTGATGGATGGGACAAGTTACCGAACCTGATTCCCGTAGCTGGACCCAATCTCACATATACACACGTTTGAAAAAGAAAAGGAAAAAAAGGGAGAATACTCCCGTGCGCTCGCGCATGTCGCGTCTTATAAAACCTTAATTTGCAAGATATCAAACAAACTCGGGAGAAATAATTTCACGCGCACGTTTGCGTAGCAAAAATATAAGATTTATCTGCCTGCATACAAAGGCGTAATATTTATTCTATATATACCTATATAACTTCGTGATTATATTACATGGCGCAATTCCAAGAATCTTAAAAAAGGATATAAATCTAAAATACATTCTATATACATCTCATTAAATTAAAATAAAAGGCTCAGGCATTTCCAGCTCTGAGAGACTTATTTGTTTATCTCGTATATCGACTTTATTTTCGCTCGCGCGAAACATTTAAATGTGGAAAATCGAGATCTTGTTTCTCTTAAATATCTCGAGCGTTCAAAAATGAATTCCAATTTCAAAACGAGATTCCAATTTGCGGCGATATGTACTTATACGATAACACCGCCGCCGCGCGCCGCGCCGGCCGGCTAGGTACGATCGCGCGACGCAACGCGACGATCTAAAATCGCTCGAAGCTAAGCGACTCGTAAGCACGACGATCTCCCACCACTTTCTCTCTCGACACCCGTTACGAGAGTAGCATTAGATCGTACGTTAGACACGCGATTGGCTCCCGCCGGATGCGAAGAGGTTGGGCCAGGTGGGCCATCAGGGGGCACATGACGCGATTGGCAGCACAAACAGCCGCGGAGGAAGGGGGGACAAAACGAGTTAGCGAATCCATAGCGTCACTATAAACGAATTATTACGCCTGTTTATTGGTTTTCCTTGTTTACGAGCTTATTCCGTCCGTGGAACGACTAATTAATTAATTAACCTCGCCATTGATTCAACTGAATACATTAGTGGAGCGAATACATTACCGAAGCGATTACATGCATTAAGACGTAATATAAATTAATTAAAGTACATCAAGTACAATTTATCAATTAGAGGCAAGGAAGAAGTTATTTTTGTAATCCTATACCTGTAATAAAATTGCTAACAAAAAATCCACTTCAAATTGAAAGAAAATCTAATAGAAAATTGAGTAGAAAATCGCTATATCTGTACGTTAACTATTTTATTTATTTTTAATAGTTTGATTAATTACTTATAAAGGAAATATATGTATCAAAGATTTTTAAAAATTTGTTACTTATTTAATTATATAACATGTCAATTTAATACATATTGCTGACTTTGATATAATTTGTGTAAATATTTATTAAAAAAAAAAATAAATATTAAAATATAAAATATTTGGTATAAAAATTTTGTAAGTATATTAATATATATATATTGTCAAAACATTATCGCATACAGAAGAGTTTAGAATAAAGGTAAATTAATTCTAATTTAATTTCTAATTCGAGACATTGATTAGTTAAAAATAGGATAAGGAGAGACTATATTAGTTAATGGAAAAAATAGATAAAAAATTTTTAAGACAATAAGTCATATGAAAGCTTCTCCCTACTCTAAAAATTGAAAAGTTTTTCTCTGTCTTAAAAATTTGTTATCCAATTTTTTTTTTAACTGACTCAAATAACCCCCTATTATTTTATTATAGTTAGTTTATAAATTGTAAATGTTAAACGTAAATAAATTTCAATAAAATTCCATTATCTCTTAAAATTAGTAAAACATTTTTTGGGCGGCAACTGACATTTTTCTTTTTTTCTC